TACTTTGTATTCAATAAATTCTGCTGTCTATAGATTTTAACTTAGTAAACATCTATTGTGTATCTCAATACTACAATACCCAATACTGGGATACAATTTTGACAAACAGGACCAGTTTCTGACTTAAACACAGATTCAGATAAAATGATTTAAGTTGTTTATGGAAAAGGTTACCTTTCATAATTAATTTTACTTGGTCACAATGCAAATTAAAACTAGAAGATTCAGCATAAGTTAGGTGATGAATGTTGGCATGAAATTACATGGCTTATGTTTGTTCATATAAGCAAAGGTATGCATTGGGCAAAGACTGCCCAATGATAGGTATTGCAAAGACAGTTATGAACCATGTCCCCTAACTTCACGAAGTTTAGTCTAGTCATATTTAAGTTTAAAATAATGTTATATATGTGTTTTTTAAGTTAAATCCCATAGTTACATTACAGCATAATGTAAATTGTTATTTCCTTACTCCAAGTTTAAAAATATTTATTCCATCTTTCACTTGACCTCTATATATTTAGTGAGAAAAGCTTGAGATGTAAATATATTTAAGAAATATATTTAAGTGTTTAATGGGGTTTTTTGGTAATGAATGATACTTTTATTTTTACAGAATGCCATATCTAATATAACTTTAACATTTATTAGTAAGAGTCAGTTCTGTTTTGAGAAATTACTGGAAATAGTTTCATACAATATAATAAGAAAACTCAAAGCTTCTCCTATGCCAATTGATTAAATGACCTTGAATCTTTCCTAATTTACTCTGGTATGTTTTTAGAACAGATCATGAGTGCAGTGGGATGAGACTTGTAGTAGAATATTTTAAGGTGTGTTACTTTTGTTTATGTTGCATCTGTTTAACTCTCTGAAGCTGGGCTACTGTGCCTGTGTAAAACACCTGATGGTCTAATAAAGAACTGGCCAATAGTGGGGCAGTAGAAAGGATAGGCAGGGCTGGCAGGCAGAAGGAGAAATCTGGGAAGGGGAATTGGAGATCTAGCAGCCAGAGGAGGAGGGTGACTCCAGGGGCCAGCCACCCAGCTACACAGCAAGCCACAGAGTAAGATAGATTTACAGAAGTAAGAAAACAGGAAAATCCCAGAGGTAAAAGGTAGTCAGAATAAGTTTAGGAAAGCTGACAAGAAACTAAGCCAAGCTAAGGCTGCACATTCATAATTAATAATAAGCCTCTGTGAGTGACTTATTTGGGAGCTAGGTGGTGGGTCCCCCCCAAAAAGATCAAAGACCAATTAACAATAAGATTGCTTTGAACTTCTTCACTTATTTGACACTGTTAGTCACTCAACTCAACCTCAACTTGTGCCTCTTGGACTGTCCATAAAATTCATTCATTGTTTTTCCTCTCTTCTTTTCAATATAGAACTCTTTTTTTTAATCTAGATGCTAAAATTTAATTATTACTTACTTTAGCTTCATGTTAGGGAAAAGGAAACTGTGGTTATGAAACAGGTGGGTTTTTTTTTCAAATAAATCTTCAATAAAACGAATGAAAACATTGCTGCTTTTATAAGCTACTAAAAATAGATGTAAATGCGAGTGACTTTTTTGGTATTTTATCAGAGTAAGATCTCCCCAAATCCTTCTGTTTTTCTGGTAATTTTGTCCTGTCTGACAGTAAGCTAAATCCTTCATAGTCAATTATATCAGGTTACTCTTTTGTTAATATATTTGTATGGGTAGGAATCATCCCATAGACGTTTCATATTTGAAAAATAACCTAATCAAATATTTTCTCACAAGTGATACTAAAATAATATTTTACATATTTATAATGTTATAAAATCAGACAAAACTTTAAATCATATTTAAAGATAATTGTAAGTTATTTCCTGAAAATATTTTTTAGACAAGTATTTAAAATGTGACATCATATGTTCCTTAGTATATTCCTGTAAATGTCGATGAAAACTTACTTTTTTATAATTGTGGGATTTTGTCATTCAAAAGTGGAGAAAGATATATGTCATAAAGGCAAAACAGCTATTTAAACTGAAACAAAGAAACTATTCCATATTGAAAGCTAAAAATGTGTAAATCTCCCAACTGAATTGATTGAGGAAGCTGGCTTTCCGCTCTTTCATGTCAAAAAGTACCATCCAGATTGACCATGACTGTGCCTTAGTTCAAAATTTTAGTCTGTAAGCTTGTTTTTAAATTATTATTGTCTCTTTTCTGTATCCCTTTTCCAAGAAAAAGCCAAACTCTCCAATGTAATATTTCTAAGAAACAAATGTTAATAATAGTAGTAGATTAATTCTGCTGAAGAAAGAGATTTGAGAAGATTATTATTCATCATAATACAATCTGATTCTATTTGAGAATATCCAGATATGAAGTAGCAAATGGACAGTGTGTTTCTTCCATGTGAACAGTTTGAGTTAAAATGTTACTCCTGAAAACTAAGGTTGTTTTCTTTTGTTTGTTTTCATAATGTTTGAGCTATTACCTCACCCCTTGTGTATTTTTTTTCAATAGAACTTTTCTAAATGTAGACTGAAAAATAACCTTCATTTCCTGAATAGCAGTCAGGATACTCTTTCTTTTCACCTAATGAAGAATTATTCCTGGACCTGAATAGTATCTCACAGTGCCTCATGAGAAAGCTATTAGTATAAAACCTGTGCACATTTTCCCATAGAAACTTAATGCCAAACATTAATACAGAAATTCTTTTTTACAATCAGCCTTACATCTCCCTTCTGCTCTGATGAAGGTTGGATGGTTGGGTCATGAAAAATAATGAACCAGGCTTTAGAAGAAGAAAGATGATCTAATTCCCCTTTGTTTCTTTTTTTTTCCTCCTCTTCAAGAAGTGGAACCAACAGGCAGTGAAAAGATTGATGATGAGAATGGGACTGAGTTTGAAGTGGAACTCTTTGAAAAATGTAAATTAATCTAGAGGATTTTATACATGCAGAGCCACCAGGTTCTTTGAATGTGCCACCAACTTCGCATCAGCAAATGCTACTCTGCTGTTACACGTTCCTTTGTTCATTCATTTCACACTGGTCTAAGAGAGCTCTTAAATGTTTAGCTTGCACCAGGCACACAAAAAGGAGAAAATAACAATATTACTAACTTTGAAGAACTGCACAAGGAAGTTGACACTCTAGGTACAAAGGAACATGACTCTCTTTCCACACTACTACACTCTATCTGGTTGGAATTTATTGGTTAGCAATATGTCCTTAAACTGCTGTTTCCTCTGTCTTTCATAAAGTACCAATGGACAATTTTTTTTGAACAATGAAATGCAGTTATTTACATTTTATTTTTTAGTGAATTTTAAGATCATATACTCATTATACACAACGATAGATTTCATAGATATCTTACATAAGTACATCACGTACTTCTATTATCTAAACTCTTATTCTCCTTGTCTCTATGCACCTCCTATTAATCTCATTTGTTCCCCATATCTCTTCTTTACCTACATTCCCAATTTACATGCATTTATGTTCTTATCGTCCTATAAAATATCTAAGCTCTTCGAGGCCAGCCTGGGCTACCAAGTGAGTTCCAGGAAAAGACACAAAGCTACACAAAGAAACCCTGTCTCAAAAACCAAAAAAAAAAAAAAAAAATCTAAGCTCTACAAATAAAAGAGAATATTCGATATTTATCTTCTTGCATCAGATATTTCATTTAGTATCATTATCTCTAGTTGTATTTCCAGCAAATGACATGATTTTATTCTTCTTCATAGCTAAACAAAGTACCATTTTGTATATACAGCATTTTTTTCTGTATCCATTTATGGCTTGGTGTATACCAGGCAGAGCCTTCTGTTTCCTCCTCATCAGAACATTATGTCTTAGATAACATAGCTGTTCTGTATCTAGAGTGAATAATACAAGCACTCAGAAAATCAAGGAAATAAACTGACTCTGTAGAGCAGCTGGTCCAACACTGCATCTAATACTACTTTTTGTAAAGACTGTTACTTGTTTTTCTTAGTTTGTAGATGGAGTTTCCAAACGATCATATAATGATTCTAAGATTATATACTGGACAACAGAGAGAAACTCTAGTAGATAATAAGCAGGACAGCACTATTTGTATGTCTAATTTCTTTAAAATAACTTTTTTCAGAGGAACTATCTTAATTTTTCTGAATAACTTAAAGGTATCTGAAAGAAGCTCTTTATATGTCATCATACATTGTGCCTAGGGAATACTTTAAGTAATCAGTATTAGTTGTTTAATAGAAAAATCAAGTAAAAGGTAGCCTTCATGGATTTTTATAACTTTTTCAGGTTCCAGTGCCAAACAGGAATGATATAACATCTTGCTTTGTGTTATTTTTAATAATTGACCAATCTATTGATAACATTTCAAGTGGGAATAAATATTTTGTAACAGAACATTTAATTTTTATTTTTTTTACTTTATGCTTATTACTAATGCATGGGCTCTAGTAAACATCAGATTTAATAAATTCTAAAGAAGGCACATTTGAAAGTATGTATCAAAGATCTTGAGAATTCACAGTCTGTGGCCATGGAATGATATTTTTAGAAATTTATTTTAATGATTAATTAAAGAAAAAACAAAATAACAAGAGTTCTATTAAATAACATTAATTAGTTCATATTCTGGTATGTTATATTATCATTAAATAAAATAAAATAATAATTGTAATTCAATACTTAATATGTAATATTAAACCAAAGTAGCAGATTATGAAATACTACTAGTGATACTGTTATAAATTCAGGGTAAAGTCACAGATACTAAAAATATCTCTGTCAAAATATTGAAGGTTTGTCTATTAGAATTATTTATATTTTTGGTCTATACTTTTCAACCTTGTGAAGTATTGAAATCAAGGTAAGTGAATCAATGATAATATTTCTAGAAGCATCCTGGCTCATAATATAACTCTAACACTGAAAATAATTTGAACAATGCCTTTCAGATGGCTAACATTTTTAAAAACAAACTGATGGTTGGTTTTGTTTCCAATACAGAAATTCTAAATGGTGGCGTCTATGTAGACCAGAACAAATTCCTGTGTTATGCTGATACCATACACTGGCAAGATATCGTTCGGAACCCATGGCCTTCCAACATGACTCTGGTGTCAACAAATGGAAGCTTCGGATGTGAGTAGCATTTTCCCATCATCCGGTTTTAACAACTGTTTATCTATCTATCTGTATGTGTGCGTGCGTGCGTGCATGTGTGTGTGTGTGTGTGTGTGTGTGTGTGTGTGTGTGTGTGTGTGTGTTTCTGTCTGTCTGTCTATGTCACAGTGCATCCATGGAAGTCAGAGGACAGACAACCTGTGGGAATCGTTTCACTTCTTCCAGCACATAGGGCATAGGGATTGAAATCATGTCATTAAACTTGAGGTCTAACCTCTATCTGCTGACTCATCTCACCAGCCCACATCGTCCTCTCTAATGTCTTAATATTCTTTTCCCCTGTGTTATAGTGAACATCTTATCTTGCTCAGCATGCCAGTGGTGATATTTTGATATCTGAATCCATTATAAAGCTCAGTTATTTCTTCCTACAGTTGTATGTCATACAGCAGATCGCTGACCAGCCTCATTCTTCTAATTACTCTCTTTCAGAATTTTCAAACCTTGATTTCTCACTAATGCCCTATTGATAACATTGGTCTGTGGTGGTGCATGCCTTTAATCCCAGCACTCAGGAGGCTGAGGCAAGCAGATCTCTTGAGTTCAAGGCCAGTCTGGTACAAAGGGAATTCCAGGGCAGCCAGGGCTACACAGAAATTCTGTATCAAAAACAAAAACAAAAGCAAAAAAACAATTCACAACAATGCAAAATGAGTCACTATAGAGTTCATATACAAGAAACACTTTACCTTCTTCATTTTTAATCAGAAATAAACTACTGAATTCTCTATTTTTTAAAGGTATAGTACTACTTCTACCAGAGAGGATTTTTTTAGATTAATAGTATTTAATATGATGAAATGATAAGCAAATAGTGTCTGAACTATCATCAAAACCTGTGCCAATGATTCTGTCTGGAATCTCTTTCATTTTTATAAAGCAGGCTTTGTTGTCACACATTTATTATTACTGACATTTGTATGAGAACTGAATCTTTATCAAGTATTAACCTGGGTTTTAAATTTCTCAATCTATTATTATATATTTCCCACCTGAAATCATAACTCTCTCCACATAGTTTCATAATTATTTGCAATAGTGCTGATTGTGTTATGACTCTTTTATGGGAAATCAAACTCCAAGGGACAATTATTAAATTTCATGATGGCCATAATAACATAATGGGGAAATATGAATGTATTTGATCAAAACTGACAGCTGTGTTTTTAATAAAAGGCTAAAACCCCTTTTTTATGAAAGTAGAGTAACATAATTTTCTTGTCATCTTTAAACAGAAATTTGTATGAGATTCTGTCTTTGTAGTTTTCAAGTTATCTAACAGGTAAAATTTCTTGTGCATTTTTTTTTAAATCTGCTTATGCTAACAGTGGGAAAGATGTGATTTGGAAATGGCTACTGTTTTCAGGTGGCTGTAATAAAGGAATATCATATGGGGCGGGGGTTGTATTGGTTGAATGGGGGAAAGGCCTGCTGACTCCCTGCTTCTCAGAGAGACTTGCCTTTAAGGCATAAATGAGATCATGCAAGAATAAAGTCTGAGCCAGAAGCCAGAGGGAAATTTGCCCAACCCCCTTACAGGGTTTGAAGCAGGAAAGGTCTATGGGGTTTGGACACTTTCACAGATGGTATCCCTTTGTGCTGATCTTTTGGAGGGCTAATTTGGATGGTTGTGCCTATAATTAGGCAACTGTGGCTACACTTTTTGTTTTGCATGCAAAAAATATCAGATGCAAAAATTAAAAATGCAGACTAGGTTCGTAATCAATGGTCCTTTACAGACTAGCCATCTATTGTTGTCAAAATGTTATTACCAGCTCTAGATGGTAAATCATTCCATCTACTATATGATATTGTATCTGACAATAATGAATTAACTATTGTTTAAATACTAGTTTTCTACGATTTTATTTTGCTAACAGAAAAAAATGAAAAAAAGATAAACACTATATGATCCCTCTAATATTGAATACATTGATATAGTCCACTTACAATAATCATATCTGAGTAACGAAATACAAAGTATAGCTATTCAGGGTCTGAGAAGAGGAAATCAAGGCTGCTGTTTAGTTGGCTTGCAACTGCAGTTTTACTAAATGAAAGAGTTCTGAGGAGTTATTACACACAGAAGTATAAATTTACCCATACAACTGACATAGAAAATTTAAAAGTTAAAATCACAAATTTTGTGATATCTTTTTCATCATAATTAGTAATAAATAAATGAATAAATGTATTTTTAATTTTTATTGATAATAGAGTCTTATCTCATACAAAACATTCTGACCACAATTTCCCCTCTCCCCACTCTTCCCAACTCAAAAGCTACTAAATACTCGAAATGTAATATAGATATAATCTGTGGTTTCTGTTTTCCACAATACAGTTGTCACTACTATTTGGTAATTTGTAATTGATGAAAATAATAACTTTAGCTGGGCATGGTGGCACACACCTTTAATCCCAAATCTCTGTGAATTTGAGGCCAGCCGGGTCTACAGAGTGAGTTCCAGGATAGGCTCCAAAGCTACACAGAGAAACCCTGTCTTGAAGAACCATTTTAAAGAAAAGAAAATAATAACTTTAATAGGTAATGAATAGAGAACCTATCTATTCATGTTAAAACATTTCTAAACTCTCTCACATAATTTTAGGAATCTAATGAATCAAATCTGGCATATGTGCTTGTTTGTCTTGTTACCAGTGTTAACAATGTGCATGCTAGATGTCTTTCCAATGAAGGATGACCACAACTGTGTCCTGAAACTCCGCCATTGTGACTAACAGTAAACAAAACTAAATGGCTTAGGATTTTCAGTAAATTTACATCTATTTCATGGCTTTATGAACTGATTTTTCTAATTTAGAAGTAGCTCCTTTCTTCTTCTGCTTGACATAAGAAATCTTAATCATGCTTTAAGATATTCATCAGGATATTAGTCCAAGAAATTTGGTCTTCCTGAGGTTTCATTCCAGAGATGCAGGGATGGTTCAACATATTTAAATCAACAAATTTGTCCATCTCATAAATAGTCTCAAAGTCAAGAATTATGTCATCTTGTAACTAAATGCAGAAAGGGTCTTTGGTGAAATTTAACATCCCTTCCCAATAAAAGACATGGAAGGACTGGCAATCAAGGGATTATACCCCAACATAACAAAGGATATATATAATACAGCTATAGTCAACATCATGCTGAAAGTGGAAAACTGAAAGCATGTCTGCTAATATTAGGAAGAGGACAAGGACGTCTACTTTCCATTCCTATTCAATAATTCACAAGAGTGCTTAAAGCCTTGGGTTGGCAAGACAAGAAATAGAAAAAAATAATCCAAAATTTGTATTGGAGGCTCAAAAATCTATGGATAGCCAAAAAAAGAACACTCCCAAAAATTATTTTTAAAAATATTTCACAAGTTGGGCGGTGGTGGCGCACGCCTTTAATCCCAGCACTCGGGAGGCAGAGCCAGGCAGATCTCTGTGAGTTCGAGGCCAGCCTGGGCTACCAAGTGAGTCCCAGGAAAGGCGCAAAACTACACAGAGAAACCCTGTCTCGAAAAACCAAAAAAAAAAAAAATTTCGCAAAATATATCCTTATGTATATTATTATGTATCTGTTATTCATAATATAAATATGTGAAATATTTAAAGAGAAATATGTTCTTTGTTGAAAAGTATTTCATATGTAATTAAAATGTAAATAAAAGGCCTATTATCCATATTAAAACTACTTATAACAATACAAACCTATCAGATATATCACATAGCTAAATTGTTTTTTCAGGACCAAATATCAGCTTACCAGAGAATAGGGATGGGAGATTGACAATTTGTACACAGTACCTGCTTTACAAGCAGAATTTCATAAACCAATCTTTCTCTAACAGGATGTTCAGACAGCTTTAATTCCTGAGCATTATAATTTTTGTTTTATTGAATCCTATATGCCTTAAAAATTACCATACCCAAACATTGCACACTATGTGCACGAAAGAACTCTCTTGAGTTAGAAGAAAAGCAGTCTGAAAATAGAATTTAACTAGAATTATTACAATAACACTCTTGTTACACCTTTGATATTATAGTATTTATATGAAGTAGATGTGCTCTTTTAATGTTGGACTTTGGCATACAGTTAAAATGCAATCAAGACAGGTATAGACAACTTCAATTTATGTAAATTCATACATGCAATCAAATTACAGGAATTTAAGAAATATTTTAAAGTCAGAGCTTAAATTAGAGGGAAATGTAATACATATTGGAAAGTGTAAGTTAATTTACATGAATTGAAGAGGTAACATTTTGAGAAGTACTGTAAAACAGATTTTTCACAAATTTCGCATAGTAAAACATTTTTTCAATACCCTTAATATTGTTTTTCTAATTCAAATTCATACAACAATCCTAACAAAATACTAGTAACTGCAGTAGCATACAATCTAAAAATATGTGTTACAATAGACTACATTAATTCCATGTGTCAGTTCTGTTTTTAATCAGAAAGTAAGGTCCTGAGATAATAGTAAAGTACAGAAAAGCAAAATATCAGATTAAAAAAAAAAAAAAAAACTCCCACATCAAAATTGAACAACACAGACCAACAGAAGGAAAAGAGCCCAAGAAAAGCCCCAAGAATTAGAGACTCACTATTTAACACACTCAGGAATCAAAGAAAAAATACACTGGATGCCATAATATATACAGAGAGAACCTGTAGCAGCCCCTGGAAGATCCTGTGCATGCTGCCTTGGCTACTGTGAATTCATATGATCTTTGATCATGTTGATTTAGAGAGCCTTGTTTTCTTTGTGACCTCCATCTGCTCTGGCTCTTACCTTTTTTGCCTTCTCTTCCATGGGCTTCCCAGAGTTCCGAGGGGAGGGATTTCATGGACACATCCCTTTGGGACTAAATGTTCAAAGGTCTCTCTCTCTCTCTCTCTCTCTCTCTCTCTCTCTCTCTCTCTCTCTCTCTCTCTCTCTCTCTCTCTCTCTGA